CTATGGCCAAGACCAAAGAGCTGTCAAAGGACACCAGAAACAAAATTGTAGACCTGCACCAGGCTGGGAAGACTGAATCTGCAATAGGTAAGCAGCTTGGTTTGAAGAAATCAACTGTGGGAGCAATTATTAGGAAATGGAAGACATACAAGACCACTGATAATCTCCCTCGATCTGGGGCTCCACGCAAGATCTCACCCAGGGGGACCTAGTGAATGACCTGCAGAGAGCTGGGACCAAAGTAACAAAGCCTACCATCAGTAACACACTACGCTGCCAGGGACTCAAATCCTGCAGTGCGAGACGTGTCCCCCTGCTTAAGCCAGTACATGTCCAGGCCCGTCTGAAGTTTGCTAGAGTGCATTTGGATGATCCAGAAGATGATTGGGAGAATGTCATATGGTCAGATGAAACCAAAATATAACTTTTTGGTAAAAACTCAACTCGTCGTGTTTGGAGGACAAAGAATGCTGAGTTGCATCCAAAGAACACCATACCTACTGTGAAGCATGGGGGTGGAAACATCATGCTTTGGGGCTGTTTTTCTGCAAAGGGACCAGGACGACTGATCCGTGTAAAGGAAAGAATGAATGGGCCATGTATCGTGAGATTTTGAGTGAAAACCTCCTTCCATCAGCAAGGGCATTGAAGATGAAACGTGGCTGGGTCTTTCAGCATGACAATGATCCCAAACACACCGCCCGGGCAACGAAGGAGTGGCTTCGTAAGAAGCATTTCAAGGTCCTGGAGTGGCCTAGCCAGTCTCCAGATCTCAACCCCATAGACAATCTTTGGAGGGAGTTGAAAGTCTGTGTTGCCCAGCAACAGCCCCAAAACATCACTGCTCTAGAGGAGATCTGCATGGAGGAATGGGCCAAAATACCAGCAACAGTGTGTGAAAACCTTATGAAGACTTACAGAAAACGTTTGACCTGTGTCATTGCCAACAAAGGGTATATAACAAAGTATTGAGAAACTTTTGTTATTGACCAAATACTTATTTTCCACCATAATTTGCAAATAAATTCATAAAAAATCCTACAATGTGATTTTCTGGATTTTTTTTCTCATTTTGTCTGTCATAGTTGACGTGTACCTATGATGAAAATTACAGGCCTCTCTCATCTTTTTAAGTGGGAGAACTTGCACAATTGGTGGCTGGCTAAATACTTTTTCCCCCCACTGTATATTACATGTTTTACAGCAGCCTCTTCTAGGCTGGGAGCCTCCCTTGGCCTTCACTGTACTGGCAGCAGAATGTGGCTGCCTGAGTCAAATGGCACCATATTCTATAAAGTGCAATACTTTTGACCAGGGCCCATAGGGCTCTGGTCAAAAGTAGTGCACTACATAGGTAATAGTGTGTCATTTGGGACGCACACTGAAAATGACACAGGCTGGAGATGGAGAGACATTCAGTTTGCTTAAAAATAAAAAAATTAGACACTCAGTCACTCCCACAGCCCACAGAGGAGACTGGTAAAACAGCTTTACTTGAGAGGAGAGGTATTAGCCTAGTAGAGGTTTTAGATTGGAGGTATTACCATACCCTTCCAGCGGCCTCTCATTAGGACTGTCTCACTGCATGGCAGCCATTGTCCCTGTGTTTGGCATCTCAGTAAGACAGACAATAAGGATCGGCTGGCTGGAGGACCCGTCAAGCTAACGATGGTGGCAGCCAAAGGTAATTGGATAGACTTTAGCCTCCTTAGGCCAGGTATTAGAGAATGGTAATCAATGTCATTGGCAGACATGGGATGCTTTACTTTTCTTTCACAAACTATTAGATTTTCTGCTGCGGTTAGGTTTAAATCCCATTCATTAAAAATCCCCCTATTTTCTGAGGGACTATTCTTCAAATAATTATTTTTTGGTCCGTAGTCAAATGTGAGATTTACACAGAAAGAAGATAGAGACTGAAAAACAAACTACACAGAGCTAACTAATGCCCTTGACTGTGGGAAAATAAGACCAATGAGTAATGAATTCTAAGAAGAGTGTATCAATTACCAGTAAAGAAAATGGTATCAAGATCATGGCTATCTAGCACAATGTGGAGAAATGGACCAAAACTCTCTATTATATATATTTTGTGTTAATCTGGACACTATTTAAAATGAAAAAATGCATCTTGGTAAATAGATTAAGTATAAACTCCCAGTGAAAACATCCCAATTCTGATAATTTGTTCTAATAATTGGTCTTTTGACCAATCACATCAGATCTTTTTCAGAGCTGATCTGATTGGTCAAAATACCAATTCGTGAAAAGATATCTGAGTTAGGCTGCCTGTGCGAACTCAGCCATTGTGTGATACATAAATCACCATTTCCACCATGGAGTAAAAAGGTTGTATTTGTCTCCTAGTTTAAAATGGATGTAGTGAGGAAGAATCAAGTAACGAAAGCTAAAAGCAAGCATTTTGTAGACGTGCACTGCACAACCTCTGCTGACATTAATCTGAATTATAGCCACAATCATCCCGTGGCCCTCATACAATAAAACATGTAATCGTACCCAGCATCCAATTGACTCGTTCAACCCCTATCCTCTTCCCTTGGAGAGAGGGATGATGCTGGTCAGGTGGATGACTGCTGTCACCTTGTGGTGGGTTACAGAACAGAACATGCAGATAATACACTGAACAAAAATATAAACGCAACATGTAAAGTGTTGGTCCCATGTTTAATGAGCTGAAATAAAGAAATCCCAGAAATGTTCCATACGCACAAAAAGCTTATTTCTCTCAAATTTTGTGCAACAATTTGTTTACATCCCTGTTAATTAGCATTTTTCCTTTGCCAAGATAATCCATCCACCTGACAGGTGTGGCATATCAATAAACTGATTGAACAGCATGATAACTACAGAGGTGCACCTTGTGCTGGGGACAATAAAAGGCCACTTTAAAATGTGTCGTTTTGTCACACAACACAATGCCACAGATGTCTCAAGTTTTGAGGGAGCGTGCAATTGGCATGCTGACTGCAGGAATGTCCATCAGAGCTGTTGCCAGAGAATTTAATGTTCATTTCTCTACCATAAGCTGCCTCAAATGTCATTTTAGAGAATTTGGCCTCACAACCTCAGACCACGTCTAACCACGCCAGCCCAGGACCTCCACATCCGGCTTCTTCACCTGTGGGATCGTCTGAGGGGGGGCGGGGGGTGCTTCGGAGAATTTCTGTCTGTAATAAAGCCCTTTTGTGGGGAAAACTCATTCTGATTGGCTGGGCCTGGCTCCCCAGTGGGGCGGTCTGGCCGCCAAGTGGGTGGGCCTATGCCCTCACATGCTCACCCATGGCTGCATCCCTGCCCAGTCATGTGAAATCCATAGATTAGGGCCTAATGAATTTATTTCAATTGACTGATTTCCTTATATGAACTGTAACTCAGCAAAATCTTTCAAATTGTTGCATGTTGCATTTACATTTTTGTTCAGCATATATGCCACCCAACAGATGCTTTTTATGCAAAGGGTTTTACAGTAAAGTGAGTGCATACATTTATGGTATGTGTATGTGATCCCTACAGGAATTGAACCCCAAACCGTGGAGTTTCTCGTGCCAAGCTCTAATCAACTGAGTCAAACAAGCACACATTTACATACACACAACAATAAAGTTGAAAGCAGAAAGACTAATTACAGAAGTTTCAAAGCTATAAAATACAAGTCATCGAATAGTTAAAATTGTACTGAATTTTATTGCAAAAAAAGAAAAACAAAGTTTGCTGTGTTAACAAAAATTCACATAATTGCAACAACGCAGTCTGCTAAATAAATAACAATGCACGCTAGTTAATTTGAAACCATACATACCTCCTGGAATTCACTGTTGTGAGTATTACTAGGCACCATTTGCCTTTTTGCTCACAAATTGCCCTATTTTTCACTAGATGCTTGGGCTTTAGTTCGCCTAAAGCTGTAAGGATCCACTGCTGCCTCAGCAACATCACTAATCAATGGAAATGCAAATAGAAACAGATGCAAAGCAAAACCTTTAGCTAATTATACAGCAGCACTACTTACAGTGTGTGTCCCTGAGCAGTAGAAAAACTGTAGAGCACAGCATGTTTTGTTATAGCTAGTATTATTGCCCCTTTAGTGGGTTGCCAGATTGGGTGGATATCATTAGAAAAAGCATGTATTAATGACGTTTTCTGCAATCCAGTCATACATTAAAGACTTTCAGCCCATACAAAAGCAACGTTTGCCAGCCTTTCCAGTTATCATCAAGGAACTCTGTAGAAAACAGAGGTGAACAGATAGACACATTAAAGAGTACAAGATACAGTCATCTCAGAAGGGTATCCAGGTCATTTACATACAGTATGGACTGGTGCTAGGTAGTTGGGTTTTCATCTGAAGAGGCAAAACTATGAGGAAACAATTGGATGCTTTAAAGCAATCGGCAGGGGAATCTACAAAAAAAACATTGGTAAAAAAATTAACATTGCTATGAGCAACTTCCTAAAAGCATTAGGATTAAGTGGATATCCTTATATTGTTCTTCCTCCCTATGACTACTTTATTGCCATCAACAAGGATCTGAAAAAATATACTTCGAGGTCTATGATTCTACCCCATCTGTACAGAAACACGGACAATAGCTCTTACAAATCTCACTTACAAATCTTTTTAAGGCACTAAAAAATCATAGAAAGAATTTAAGCAAAAAATATATTATTTATTTTCTCGAAAAAGCAACATTCATTCAAACATACATCATCCTATTTCCTATGTGGTCAACACAATACTGCTGTCAAAATGAGGTTTCAGTTTCCTAAAAATACCCTGCTGTGGTTCGTCCTCAGTGCATCAGACTCAGTGGTCCGTCTCTGTGTATTCAACTGAGAGCTCAAAAAGAGTTCCGTCTCTGTACATGATCGAGATCGACAACATTGCAGTCGGCAACTGCAGACTTACTGATCAACAAATCACCTTGGATCTTAAATAACCGTATTATTAACAGTAGATCAGTCAGTTTGCTCAGTCAGTGATCAGCTACTGAGCAAAATGTATGGTAATGCTCTCGAACAAAACGACAGTCTCTGCCTCAGACTTAGTCGTCCTTCTTGTCAGAGGTGCTCTCTTCCTGGTTGTCCTCAGAGCAGACGTGATTGGTGCAAGAGAGTTCTGACTCCACCCCCTGGAGGGCCTGGTACCGCTGGAGCTCCAGGTAGGTGGTGAACAGCTTGGCATACTCTGGGTGGTTCAGGGCAAACGCCTGGAACTCGGCTGGAGAGGGAAATGGAAAGACAGAGGATCAAATCAGAACTTACAGTAGTATATTTGGTATATTATCAATGCTCACAATACCTGGAATTCAGTTGCAGAGAGGATAAAATCAGAACTATATTCAAATTGTCAGTGACTAAAGAAGAAATTCTGTTACATCATAAAAATTCAAATAAAATTCCACAAAGTTGTTGTTTAAAATGGGCTACTTTTGATAGTAATGTTAATTTCCTATGAGAATTAAAAAGCAAGAATAAAAGAAACAATACAAATACTAATATCCCACTTTCAAATCCATATAGTATTTATCTTTCTATATTTCTACAAAGGACAGATCCAAGACTCAATCCGGCCTTTTTTCTATGGTGTTCTGTCAAAGCAAGCAGTCAGCTGCCTTTTGTTTACGCTGTAGTCCTCCACTACAGATAAACTTTGACCTTCACAATGGTCTACTTACAGAAAGTGATGAATTCAGAGCTGTCTGTGTCCATCTCCTTGAAGAGTTTGGAGACGTTGAGGTCACACACACCTAGAGCAGAGCGAAGCATGGAGGAGAACTCTTCATGAGTGATTCTCTGGTCCTCGTCAGTGTCAAACAGCTAAGGAGAGGGAGACAATAACTTAAGTAATGACAACACATAGACTTGCTTATTGAAAACGAGATTGCTCTTATGACCATGTGGCTTTCAAACCTACTTCATGTTCCCCTCAGACAACCACAAAACAGTACCCCCCACTCACACGTATTTGACTTTATCATAGCCACTGAGCGCTCCTCTATTGCTCCCAAACCATTGGTAGACCTCACAGACACAGTCTGTGTCAGCTACATTCCAACGCCCCAATGTCATGTGTGGGACAGCTACATTCGCAACAAGCAGGGTTTTTATTGGCCGAACCTGGAAAGCTGTGCGGAGGACCTCTTCGGTGTTGGCTGGCCGACACAAGATGGTTACACCGATGACATACTCTCTGAAATCAATGGTGCCATCTCCATTCTAGAGAGAGACAGAGTGAGAGGTAAGTATCAGTTAACAAAGCCAGACTACACATTGCATTCTGTGGACTACAATACTATACACATACAGTATGTTTTTCCAAGATGAACAATGGTTCCTTTATTTCTTCAGACAGTTTGTTTACCCCCTCTATGAACAAAGCAGTGAGGGACATCATACTAAATCCTCAGTTACTTAGCCCATCCAGTCACAGGTTGGAGAGTTGGAGAGAACAGACAGAATGGCTGTGGTCTGATTATCTACGCTTCGCAAGAATAGTGCACTCGTACACTTCCCTTTGTAGATTTCAAAGGAATGTTGTAAGAAATATGGTGTACACTTCCTCCAGCCAAGCTTGCACCAATCCAACACAACCTAGGAAAACCTAGAAGAGAGATTGAACTAGATGTGACTGGCTCTCACCCTGTCAAAGAGAGCAAACAGCTCCTGCAGGGCGGGGCTGATGGGCAGCTTGAGGAAGCTGGCGAACTCCTGGATGGTGATGCGGCCTCCTTTACAGGAGCAGGCCACGGCTGCAAAGCCCTCCAGCTCCTTCTTCACATTGTCCCACTTTAGGCTGAGGGGGACCAGGGAGGAAAGGAGGAAGGCAGGACGCAAGGACTTACTCAGGGGAGGAAGAGGGTGTAGGTCTGTGTGTGTGTCCAACTATTACCAATTGCCTATGTAGCAGTTGGACAAATAAAGTAGTATTGTCTAATGCAGTGTGGCAATAACACAGTATTAAAGCGGCAGAGGAGCCAGTCTTACTCAAGTTTTTGGCTGATCTTAGTGAACTCCACTAGACCAGCCTCCATGGGAAGAGTGAGCTCCCCAGCCGAGATCATCAGTCTACAGTCCTCATATGTGTGGTCCGTCACTGGCACACCCAGGGCCCTGCACACACAAAGGGATAGCATTGAAGAGATGGGTAAGAATAAACATAAGGAAGCTATTATTAAATGCTGTAATACCAAACACACACACACTTACTGGGCCATAACATTTCGTACTCTCCTGGCGAACAGCACAGGTCTTTCCTTCTCCTCCTCAGTGGGGGTAACTGGAGGGAGAAACTGGAGGAGAGGGCAAAGGTCAAAACAGGGACTAACCAGGAAGTACAGGCTAACTGGAGGGCCACCTAGATAAGGACTTTATAACACGTTCATAAGCCATACATAACACATTTATAAACCATACATAACACATAGGTACTGCTAATGAATGTGTTATGAAGTCACTATCTCTTGGCCTTCTAAGTAAGTAATCCTGTGTAGTGTGCTAATACTAACCTCTATCTCTACATTGGTGTAGAGCTGAGACAGAGTGAGAAGCAGCAAGGTTCTCCTGAAAGAACATCACCAAAAATCATCATCACCTCTATTCAAAGTGCATAATGGTAATCCCATACAACAAGATTGAAATGTAAACCTACTAAACTGAAAAACAATTCATCGCTGAACAGTGAAAATCTCTATTCCCAGAGTTTGAAGCCTAACTATGGGCCCTTGAGGAGAAGTTACAAGAACATAATTGCAATGTGAGAGAGTGTACAGAAAACAACAGGGTAAATATAGCGTTGAAGCAGTGAGGCAACACTGATTATTGTAATCCACTGAGTGTACTGTAGACTTACGAGCTGAAGCCTTGCCAAGTCCAAGTCACAGTGTCCAGTCTGTTGGGATATCTCATGACCACAGGCTGCACTGGGACCCCAGGGAAGAAGGCACCTGATGGGGAGAGAGGGACAGAGTGAGACCCTACTGACCTCCAGCACTGACTACTATTCTAACTAAGTGAGCACGCACACACACACACACACACACACACACACACACACACACACACACACACAACCCATGTGTGCAAACACAGGAGCACAGACAGCCTACTAATTGGAGTGCAGGCGATGAGAGCTCATTTACCCACAGTACATGTCCAATCAATAACAAGACCAGAAGCTGGATTCATCTAACCCTGATCAATATACCAATCAGTACTGTATGGAAGCCACTAGTATTAGGTCTGTGGGTTTGGCTATTGGCACTGTAGTAGAACAAAGCAATTCTGTTAGATGCAAATGACTATGCAAATGCTGTAACATGCCATAGAGTGTAAATGAGGGTCTTGTATGCTGTTATTTACATGGACTATTAGATGCATTCTCAGGTTTACAGCTTTAGGATTTAACCGTAGCATTAGCTACTGTACAATTCACTCAGATCCTAATAGCCTAGTTCTTCGTATTTTGTGTAGTTAATCTTCAGTCATTTCCTTCTGAAGTTCATTATCACAACGCGCAATCTATTCCATGTCGCTATGGCTACTGTTCTGTTCCAGGAAGTAATGGATACACTCAGGCCCCTTCACTCTGGAGAAGCCCATTGTGTTTGCATCAGGTGACTGACCACACAATGAGGCACATAGCATGTAGTATACTGCAAAAATGGAGAGGTGTTGTGTCAAAACAAGTGTAACAGTATTGTTTCCATCCCGCTCCTCGCCCCAACCTGGGCTTGAACCAGGGACCCTCTGCACACATCGACAACAGTCACCCTCGAAGCATAGTTACCCATCACTCCACAAAAGCCACAGCCCTTGCAGAGCAAAGGAAACAACTACTTCAAGGTCACAGAGTGGGTGAAGTCACTGATTGAAACTCTACTAGCACACACAGCTAACTAGCTAGCCATTTCACACCTGTTACACAAGCACCCCAGAAAGAAGCTAAATGAACACCATTCTGCAACCGCATGGCCATATCTCTGCCATTTGTTTACAAGTGAATTTGCATTAAGTAAATGACACCACTAGAGTGGATGCTACTGTCTGTCTCTCCCTGCAGACTGTCTGGAAGGCTGTCCGTCTCCACTATAAGCAAATGACAACCAGCCTGTTAGATGGGAATATAATATGGACATTGTAGGGTCCCACATGATTTTCATACCCTATCAATGGTACACTGTTTGGCATCAGTTGATACCTTGGATCCACACACAAATGTTGAGTATGTGTTTCTACTCCTATTTAAAAACAAGCATGGTAGTGAAGCTCAACCTACCTTGTTTGAAAGTGATGAGACATGAGCGATTTGTACAAGTCCCCTCAGGGAAGACCAGGATCTGGAACATAAATAACAGGTTTATTTTAGTACAGCCACTGACAATGTAGATGGATCTAGGCCAGTGTTTCATTCTATGCTGAATGAAGCAGACTTTCTGTCACAGGGAAGTAGTGACAGAAATTGTGTTTGAAGGATATGTCACGTGAGAGGAAGTTCACAAGGCAACTTCCTGGTGTAAAAAGGTGTGATGTTTAATTCCCATGCTCCTTGTCAGACTACAAGCTAGACAAGACATGATCAATTATGATAAAAATTACCAAATGGCTGTGTGTGTGTGTGTATGTGTGTGGATGTGTTTAACTATATTTGTGGGGACCAGAAGTCCCCACAAGAATAGTAAACAAACAAAAAATGGACCAATGGGGACATATTGTTAGTCCCCACAAGGTGAAATGCTATTTCTAGGGGGTTTGGGGTTAAGCTTAGAATTAGTGTTAGGGTTAGAATTAGGTTGAGGGTTAGGAGCTAGGGTTAGGAGCTTGGGTTAGGTTTAGGGTTATGTGTTGGGGAAAATAGGATTTTGAATGGGACTGAATTGTGCGTCCCCACAAGACTGTGTGTGTGTGTATGCATGCGACAGACCTGTGGCCAGCGGCCTCCAGACTTGGCTCTGCTGTCTATCTCCATAATGGTGTTCTTACGGGAGTCTGGGTCCTGTCTGGAGACCAGCACCGGCTGGAGACACCGCACAAACCCTGGATGGAGAGAGGAAACACACATCAGATACACACACACACTAGTGCTGAGCGATTAGTGTTTAAGATCGGTTCGGTTAGATTTTTTTTTTTTTATCTTACGGTTTTTGATAAAAAAAATTAACATTAAATGCACTATGCATTATGTGGGTTGAATGCTGTAACACAGAATAAAACAATTAATAAAAGTCCCATGAAGGTAGTGACTGGCCATTACTACTTATCACTTATTAACCATAATTTATTCACATTGCTTTAATAAAATATTTCAGTGTTGTGTATATTGCATTTGTTTTATTTGATTACTTTATTATTTCATTCCAAGTCATCGTCTTATCTCTATAGAGCTGCTGCCTATGCTGTCTGACAAAATCACTATTTTGTAGTTCTTCAAAGTAAATAAGGCATACATTTATGACTGCTGAATAACAACTATCAATCACTTAGATCATGTATTTGTAGTTAGAGATACATCACGAAGCAACAGCTGCTCTCTGTATCACCTCACGATCGCGCATTCTTCCGTCTCTTCCGTAGCAGGCGTAAAAGAAACACAGACCGGACAAGTAGATGTGCAATGGATTATGGTCATTGTAGTTAATTACCACGTTTTATGCACTAAACTATGTATAATATTGGCCTGTTGGAAACTACAACTCCCTACTACATCGCACAGTTCAGGCTGGATCTGATTTATCTCTAGAGAAACTGTGCAATGTACGCATTGAGCTCACAGAAAAACCCGGAACGAAATGGAAATTAAATAATTGAACCGATGTTGGTCAATTAGTTGTTTAAAAATGTCAGTTACACGCTCAGCACAAACACACACCGTTACAGGCTAGAGGCACCGCACACACCCTGGGTGGAGAGAGGAAAAAAACACATCAGATAAACACTAACGGATATTACATCTGCAAACAGAATCAGAATAAGTACCCACACTTATCGCTGAAAGACCCACACTTACTGCTGACACATAACACACACTCTAATCATCACTTTTTGAAAAAAATCCCTCTACTGAAAAACCCCCAGACAGAAACAACACTCACTGCCGAATATAGGAGTGGCGAGGTTCTCAGTGCGGGACACAGTGGAGGGCAGGCCTGCTACGATGCACACAATTCCATCAAAGAAGGTGGAGTGTGGGGCCACAGCCAGAATGGGGGCCTCTGCACTGCTCACCTGCTGGCCCTTCACCACCACCCTAAAGCCCATGAAGAAGTAGTAGGTCCTCCCCAGGAATGCCATCACACGCCGACACATGAACCTGGGGAACCAGAGTCAAACATCAACAGAGATGTAGCATGAAACTATACAGATTAAACTAACAGCTGTATACTGTCGGGAATATTCACCTACAGACACTGAACATGGATACATATAGCCTACATCTGTGTGGACCAATATTACAGTCAACATAGATCTGTGAGCTGTCAGGAACTCAACTTAGCCTTTTGATGGTCAGAAGTACTGTACTAAGTTGTCATGAGCTAAGTTGGTGCTCCATGTTCATCAGCTAGTTAGTGCTGACAACTATCAACTAAACAGATGTGACCACGAGCGATAAACAACCAGCAGCTGCATGTAGCTGTGGTCACGTCATATCAACACATACAAACAAAGAGAGAGCGTCTCCTCCTCTCTCTACCTCTTCTTCTTTATTTTCTCAGAAAGGGGTCATAGAGATAGGACTGATGCAACACATGATAAATAAACCAAAGGAGTGGGCTGCTTTTGAGTCACAGAATAACCCATTTGGTTTATTTATCATGTGTTGCATCAGTCCTATCTCGATGACCCCTTCCTTTCTGAGAATTATTGACACTCTTAGTGACACTTGTGGCTGCTTCGCATTATGTATTGTTGTCTCTACCTTTTTGCCCTTTGTGCTGTTGTCTGTGTCGAATAATGTTTGTACCATGTTTGTGCTGCTGCCATGTTGTGTCGCTACTGTGTTATTGTCATGTTGTGTTGCTACCATGCTGCGTTGTCATGTGTTGCTGCCATGCTGTGTTGTTGTCTTAGGTCTCTCTTTATGTAGTGTTGTGGTGTCTCTTGTCGTGATGTGTGTTTTGTACATTTGTAAGTCGCTCTGGATAAGAGCGTCTGCTAAATGACGTAAATGTAAATGTACATTTTTAATCCCAGCCCCTGTCTCCGCAGGAGACCTTTTGCCTCTTGGTAGGCCGTCATTGTAAATAAGAATTTGCTCTTAACTGACTTACTTTGTTAAATAAAGGTTAAATTAATACAAATAAATACATACACAGAAAGGGCTGATGTAGGCTACATTCCTTAACAGCTTGACAGTTCATTTTTTGTTGAGGACACAAGAATTAGTGTGAAATTGCGTAGTTGTTACTCCTTCCTCCTTCCTCAATGTGTGAAAATCCCACAGCTCTTGATGTATAGGGGCAATTCCATGGTAACATAGTGATGCTGAGACTTTAAAATTTGATTTTTCACTTTAAAATGTAGGTCAAACAAAAAACAATGATTGCAAAGTTAAAGTTGCACTATACACAAATCGCTACACCATTTCCTGGTTGCTAAAACTCTAGTTATAGTTTGCCTAATTTCAGTTTCTGTGACAAAATAAGAAATGTATAATGTAGAGCATATTTGTACCATCTAAACCACTGTGAAATAGTTTCCATAATAAAAAATATTGTTGTTTCAGCTGTTTGAAGCTGGTATACAAAACCCAAAGTAAAAGACACAAAAACAAAACTTAAGAACGGGAAGCATAGAAATAGTGCACATAAAACAGATCTACCGCTTCTTAGACTTGCTTTCAAGTACAATGATAGATCTATAACTCACATTTCTATGTGAATTTGGTCTTGGACAAAAAGTTACATATTTCCACTTTTTCACACCCTGAAGAAGGCACAGTGATGCCAAAACGTTGGTGTTTTTTTACCCAATAAATTACTGGGAGGTTATACATATGGAGTGTGCGACTCTGTTTTTATAGCTTACAGTTTATTCACCGTTAGTCAGCACCTCGTGCTTTTTATTAGCATATATACAATTTTCACAGAACATTTTACAAAAACACATTTACATGCTAAGTTTGGTAAAATAATGATGTTTGTGCTCTGCTGTTAATGTGGAATTGCCCCTACACGTAATTTTTTAAATTTATTTTTTAACTAGGCAAGTCAGTTAAGAACAAATTCTTATTTACAATGACGGCCTACCCCGGCCAAACCCAGACGACGCTGGGCCAATTGTGCGCCGCCCTATGGGACTCCCAATCACGGCTGGATTGTGATACAGCCTGGAATCGAAACCAGGGTCTGTAATGACGCCTCGAGCACTAGAGATGCAGTGCCGCTGCGCCACTCGGGAGCATCAAGAGCTGTAGAATTTTTGAGAAACACGTAATTTCACACTAGCTTAATTCTTGTTCATCCTCAACAAAAAAAGATCTGTCTAGCTGTTCTGTGTAGCTGAAGCTGTCTTCATTAGATCTTGTCTGTATTGTCCAAAACACCATCTACCTCATCTTCTTTCCTTTCTCAAAACTCTGTTACCATGGAACTGCCCATAGGCCTAACTACGTAAGTGAAAAACAACAATGCTCTGTACATCCTTTGGAACTAAGGACTAAAGTACTCATAGTGGATGCATTGTTGAAATATAGTTATACATACAGACCAATGACAGTATGTCAGTAGTGGCACAGGATGGTGTTGTATATTTACCGTCTCCATCCAGTCATGGGCTCCACTGCTCCTTTGAGAGGGTGCATGAATGTTGTTATGACAGCAACAGGCCATGTTACCATGAGAACCAGAGTCAGGAAGATGGCACGGATAGGCACCAGGAAGATTCCCTGGAATACACACTGCAAAGAGATTTTTAAAAAAACATCACACACACACCAGGTTTATTACAGATCTACATTGGAGTAACGTGTTTAGGTTACTGACTTCATGCCACTGAAAGAGGGACTTTAAAGAGCCATTTTAAAACACAAATTTCCTTACCAACATATATAATGCGCAACGATGCAACCATTGACCAAGGGATAAGCACGTTATAGACTTTTCATTCTAGAAATTCACATGGTTGGAGGAATTTCTAGAGTGTACACAAATGCCTCCATTGTTTGTGTTACACAATAACAAGGCATTACAAAAGGATTGTCAGGGTTTCATCGGCTTAGATTAGCTATGTACCTGTACTGTAGGCTATATTCACACACCACCAGACACACACACAGCCGAGGAGCTAGACGACAACCACCCGGCTGCGCTCAGAGGTGGGTAGTGGAGTAGAAATGTTTACAGTACGTTTGAATACCAACCCCAGTTCTGTGAGCGATAAATGAATGAGTTAATAGATTAATTTAACATTTTATACTCACTTTGATAATGTCAGCCTTGGCCAATTTCACCTCCTGTACAAAAGGATTAAGGACGGTCCGGAAGAAACAGGGATTGCTGCCTGGGTAGCGCGAACACTCTCCGGGGAGTCATTCTTCTCGCTCCGCTCGTGGTATGGCGTCAATATGTTTTAGAATTTCACTGTGGTTTTTTCTCAATTACAACTTCTGCAATCACCCCACTTCCACGATTCGAATCTTGCGAATCCTGTTCGCGCTCCGGATGTTGCGATAACATCATTCTCAACAACCATGGTGCAAGGGACGATAGTGATCTGGCACTCCGCCTCCGATTACTTTCAGGCCCCACCTACTGCACTGGGTTTAAATCAGGTTGTAAACCTTTTGCCTAGTGAGCAGTGGTGGGGTGATTGGCTGAAATAAATTGTGTGAACAAGTCAAATGTTCATGTTGAATTGCAAAATGTATAATGTTGAAGCAACTTTACAACATTAGTTAATGTACATTAGGGTGGCATTCAATAGACTAGATATAGGGCCTAAATAAAAGAAAATACAGAAATACCCATAAAATAATAAGACTCATCATTTACATCATTTAGCAGACGCTCTTATCCAGAGCGACTTACAGGAGCAATTAGGGTTAAGTACCTTGCTCAAGGGCACAGACAGCTAGTCGGCTCGGGGATTAGAACCAGCGACCTTTCGGTTACTGGCACAACGCTCTTAACCACTAAGCTACCTGCCGCCCATCATTGAGGTTTCTTTCAGCTTAGCAATTGGGGTCAAATTGTTGTGTTCATTTGTATGAAATAAACTAAGTCATATCTCAAGGGCAAAGACATAATATGGCTGGCGTGATGAAGCCCTCTGCTCAATGATAAAAACCACAACAAACCGTTTTTCAGACCTTCATCCATCCACAAGATGTCACCTGTTAGTCAAACATGGCGTTTTACATTGACCACAGAGGTACTGTATGTAAGGGCCCTCAGAATGGCTCAACAAGGACCTGAATACAAATATTTTAAGTGTACTTGACAAAAAAACATTTTAGAATTACATCTATTTATAAACTATTAATTTACTGATTACAAATTGTGTGCTAGAAGGCTACAGAAAGGCTCATGTGACGTAGTCCTTTCTAGTAAGAAACGTCAAGGGCTTTTCTCTCTCACACACACCACATGTATTGACCATCCATCTTTATTATTTTACAGACAGAGAATGACACATTGCACAAAGCATTATAAAAAAAGAATACAAATCAAAACGACTAGCATCAAAACAACAATACAAAAATATTATTACACAATACTTCTGTGGTACTTCTCTTGTCATGACTCCATCATGCAGCAACAAACCAGATACAGTCTCTAGGCAGCCCGTGCCTTTCATCTCCCTGTACCATCAGTGAAACAATAGACAGATCCTACAAAATGGAAAATTTAGTCTCCATATTTGTGCAGTACCCCTGTATAGTCTTATACAAAGTGCTAGCCCTATATGAAGAATAAGGTTTGTCTATAAGTACTTACTTTTGAAAATAGTCTGAACAGAATGTAGAAAAACTGCATATCAAATATAGGCTCATGCAAATAAGCATTTTCTATAAGCACCATTATCTGTCCAGACATATTGTGCAAATTCATCTTTTCAAATGTATTCCACATCACTGAAATTACTATTGACAATTTCTCCTTCTATTGCAGTATCATGTACTCTCTACTTCACAGACATAGCAGTAAATATAAATATAGACAGCATTCATTCTTCAGATGATGCAATACTGCTCTAGTGAAGCTACATTTATATAGGAGAATATCTTCCAGTACAACACTCTATGTAGTGTGGACATACCTGATGTCTGAGTTTCTAATAACAAACAACGGGGTAAAGAGATCAGAGTAAATCTGCATCATCATAACACATAAACTGATAATATCACACAGTAATATAATACAAAATCCTGTTGCCTATGTTCAGCCTGTGTAGATGGTCCCACGGTGTGTTAGAGGGTGTCTTTAGTTTCTAGGCTAGGGTGCAGGATAGGCTGGTTGGATGGGGATGGGGGAGCTTAGCCAATGTCTATGCGTCTCACTGTTGCTTAGTGACAACCCAGCCAGTCCTTTGTAATCTCGCCCAGTTTGACGATCTTCAGGCTACTGTCATCCATTTTGAAGTAGTGGGCACCTTTGAAGAAGTATGTGTAATCTGGAAAACACAAACATTATGATGAGAGACAAGGTACATCAAAATCATCACATTCAGTGCATCAAATATATATCTAATTTCACCTTGAGCAAGCCACGAGGCCTTACACACTAAAAGGGAACATTCTAGCTAGTGTAAAATATGGCCCCTAGAAGCTTATATCTTTGTAACACATTATCGTCTCAGCCAGAGGAAGAGGACATGATGATGTCACTCGTCTCCTCAGTAAAAACACCCAATCAGGAATCAGCAGTGGAGGAGCTCAGGCTAATTAGCATGAAGACAGAGGCACCTCTGTGAAGCAGCACAGGCTGGCTCTATCAAACACAGTTTCTTGGTAGGGAAGCGCTGCGTGTGATGTATATGTGTGTCAGAAGCAAGGGTATAAAAAAACCCTGGTTAACTGCTATAGACTTAAGATTTACCTCCTGTGTTATACTACTCTCTCTCCGTGCTCTCTCCCCTCCTGCCTCTACTCTCTCTCCTCCTGCGTCTACTCTCTTTCCTCCTGCGTCTGCTCTCTCTCCTTGCTCTCTCCTCCTGCCTCTACTCTCACTCCTCCTGCGTCTACTCTCTCTCCTTGCTCTCTCTCCTTGCCCTATCTCTCCTCTCTCTCCTTGCTCTCTCTCCTTCTGCCTCTACTCTCTCTCCTTGCCCTATCTCTCCTCTCTCTCCTTGCTCTCTCTCCTCCTGCGTCTACTCTCTCTCCTTGCTCTCTCTCCTCGCTCTCCTTTCTCGCTCTCTCTCTCTCCTCCTGCCTCTACTCTCACTCCTTGCTCTAGCTCTCCTCTCTCTCCTCGCTCTCTCTCCCCTCCTGCGTCTACTCTCTCTCCTTACTCTCTCTCCTCCTGCCTCTACTCTCTCTCCTTGCTCTCTTACCTCCTGCCTCTATTTTCTCTCCTTGCTCTCTCTCTCCTCCTGCCTCTGCTCTCTCTCTCCTCCTGCCTCTATTCTCTCTCCTTGCTCTCTCTCTCTCCTCCTGCGTTTACTCTCTCTCCCTGCTCTCTCTCCTTCTGCCTCCTCTCTCTTTCCTTGCTCTCTCTCCTCCTGCCTCTACTCTCTTTCCTCCTGCGTCTACTCTCTCTCCTTGCTCTCTCTTTCCTCCTGCGTCTACTTTCTCTCCTTGTTCTCGCTCTCCTCCTGCGTCTACTTTCTCTCCTTGCTCTCGCTCTCCTCCTGCGTCTACTTTCTCTCCTTGCTCTCTCTCTCCTCCTGCCTATCGCGCGTGCAATGATGTGCAATAATGTCAGAGGGAAAAAAACAGTGTTGGTTGTTTGAAGTAATGTCTTTGTTGTTGTAATATCTCAAACAGACGTGGCAGTTTCACCACTAATGATTCCAGCTTTAAGGCCAGGTGCCAGTTCATAATGAGAGGACTGGCTGGGTCGGGTTGGATTCTAACTGCCAGGAATGTACGCCTGTATCCAGTGGTGTGTCAGTACAGCTCTGACTGAAGCAGGAAGCAGTTCTACCTCCGTGTTCACACAGGCCCCAGCTACCTCTCTCTCTTCCAGTTGACATCTCTCTCTCTCTCTATTTCTCTCTTCAGTAGATATCCCACTGGGCACACACTGGTTGAAGCAACATTGTTTCCACGTAATTTCAATGAAATTACATTGAACCAACGTGGAATAGACGTTGAATTGACGTCTGTGCCCAGTGGGTATCTCTCTCTATACCCCTCCCCCTCCATCCCTCTCTCCCTCCCCCCTCTCTACCTCTATCCCCCCTGCTCTGTGTGTGTGGTGGTGTCGCTCTAAGCGATGGACAATAAAGTATTAAATATACTGTATTGTATTCTAGTATGCTTACCAATGCCATTCAGACTAAAGGCAGAGTCAACGTCATCTGGGATTCCATTCCAGGAGTCAGCGATGAGCTTGGGGAAGCCAGGGTCCATCTTCTTCTTGGCTTCATTGTACCTGGAGGGGCATGATAACACACAGAGGTCATGACGTCAATGTTTAGTAATGATAAAGTTAAGTACATGATACTATGTTACTCTGTTAAGTACGAGTAGATTGGGCCGTTTTGGTTGACAAATCACAGCTGTCAACTCAAGTGCAGTCATGCAAGAGTTAAGTACATCCAACAACAGTACCTTACATGATCCCTGTATTAAGTAAGAGCAGAGTGAGCTGTTTTAACAGTCCAGTGGAAGGTAAGGACCCTAATTAAAAGCACACATGGCTCAGCACAGCAGCACACCAACACACAGTGACGTCTATAGAATTAGAATGACAGTGAATTAAAGTCATTCTAATTCTATGACGATGTCATCGTTACAAGCCCGAGTGGATCAGACACAGGCTTTGGTAGGTGTTGTGTTGTGGTGACTCACCTCCAGAACTTGTCTCCAGCGAACAGGTAGGTCTTCTGGCTCTTTCCGAAGGAGAAGGCTGCGTCAATGCCTTTCAGGTCTGTGGGCAGGCCTATAGAGGAGATTCTCTTGGGGTAGCCTTTCTCTATTTGGTCCGCATTGAAGATCCACATCTCATTGCCTATAGGAGAGACAGGAGGGGAGAGATGGCAAATGAGCACAGGTCAAGATGCTCACAGGGAAGGGTTTGCGAGGATAGAGTTTCTCTAAACTGTTATCTTTTTATTAGCCACAGAGAGACAATGATCATAGGAGTTGGCAAGACAGCACAAACAGATCTGGGACCGGGCTAATATAACGCTACATTTGATCATATCTTGTGGTTAGGGAGGACTGGATAAATTATTGAGGAAATGTGACTCATAGCTTTACAATTTAAGGGCTGGATGGAAAATAAATGGTTCTGTTCTACAAGGCCAAGCATAAATCTTCTTAAATAGGGACACTATGTTTTGGAAGAGCTCTGATTTCACGGTCTTATATGAGCTGGAGCTTTTCTAAAGTAGAATGGCATGCTTCTACAATGCATGGCATGTATTATAAACCACTAATAACTACCTACAGCACTAATGTCCAAAATGTCCAAACCACATACTAGCAGTATACTTGACAGAAATACTAAAAGACACACTTATGATTCTCCTAATGTTGAACTTCTTAGAAATAGGATGTTATTTACTGGAAATTGTCACTGCCGTTTAACAGTGATAGAGAGAGGAAACTGCCATGAAAATGTAATTGTGTGTTATATGCAATGTCTAAATCTGGCTTTTCTACAGCCTCTGCATGATGAATCAACGCTCAGGGTGGGGACAGACAGCCCATCTCAGTACGGAGCGCAGTTCACAATGCATGTATGCGTTGTGGCTGCAGCAACCCTGGTTTGAATCCGGGTCACGGCATTGCGATTCATAATGTAATGGCAAAAGGGGCTGTATTTTGAACGAGTTACAACTTACAGTGTAAATAAGAAACTCAACAACTCTTCCATTTGACAAAGTCCCTCAACTCATTGTAGGTTAATGAGTTACGTTAACAGATGCTTTCAGAGGTTCTTCACCTATTTTGTCCCCTGTAGCTCAGTTGGTAGAGCATGGCGCTTGCAACACCAGGGTTGTGGGTTCGTTTCCCAACGGGGGCCAGTATGAAAAATGTATGCACTCACTAACTGTAAGTCGCTCTGGATAAGAGCGTCTGCTAAATGACTAAAATGGAAATGTAGACCTATCATCTCATCATGGTTGTTCTTGTGACAGGTAGGCCTACATTTGCTGCAGCATAGCCTATGCTACAGTAATATAAAGACCGAATGCACGTCTAATTTACCCATCTACATCAAGCTTTCGGGAGTCACCTTGTTTTTTAATCGTAAAGATTTAAAAAAAACAAAAATGTATTGCAGCTGCAGCTTTTTTACAGTTTTTTTCCGATTGCTAACAAGCATTGTTCAATACTGCGGATACATGTGCAAAACTATCCCCCCCCCAAAGTCAATACTTTGTATAGCCACCTTTTGCATCAATTACAGCTGCAAGTCTCTTGGGGTATGTCTCTATAAGCTTGGCACATCTAGCTACTGGGTTTTTTGCCCATTCTACAAGGCAAAACTGCTCCAGCTCCTTCAAGTTGGATGGGTTCCACTGGTGTACAGCAATCTTTAAGTCATACCACAGATTCTCAATTGGATTGAGGTCTGGGCTTTGACTAGGCCATTCCAAGACATTTAAATGTTTCCCCTTAAACCACTCAAGTGTTGCTTTAGCAGTATGCTTAGGGTCATTGTCCTGCTGGAAGGTGAAACTCCATCCCAGTCTCAAATCTCTGGAAGACTGAAACAGGTTTCCCTCAAGAATTTCCCTGTATTTAGCGCCATCCATCATTCCTTCAATTCTGACCAGTTTCCCTGTCCCTGCCGATGAAAAACATCGCGTGGTATGGTGTTCTCGGGGTGATGAGAGGTGTTGGGTTTGCGCCAGACATAGCATTTTCCTTGATGGCCAAAAAGCTCAATTTTAGTCTCATCTGACCAGAGTACCTTCTTCCATATGTTTGGGGAGTTTCCCACATGCCTTTTGGCGAACACCAAACGTGTTTGCTTATTTTTTCTTTGAGCAATGGCTTTTTTCTGGCCACTCTTCCGTAAAGCCCAGCTCTGTGGAGTGTACTGCTTAAAGTGGTCCTATGGACAGATACTCCAATCTCCGCTGTGGAGCTTTGCAGCTCCTTCAGGGTTATCTTTGGTCTCTTTGTAGCCTCTCTGATTAATGCCCTCCTTGCCTGGTTCGTGAGTTTTGGTGGGCGGCCCTCTCTTGGCAGGTTTGTTGTGGTGCCATATTCTTTCCATTTTTTAATAATGGATTTAATGGTGCTCCGTGGGATGTTCAAAGTTTCGGATATTTTTTTATAACCCAACCCTGATCCACAACTTTGTCCCTGACCTGTTTGGAGAGCTCCTTGGTCTTCATGGTGCAACTTGCTTGGTGGTGCCCCTTGCTTAATGTTGTTGCAGACTCTGGGGCCTTTCAGAACAGGTGTATATATACTGAGATCATGTGACAGATCATGTGACACTTAGATTGCACACAAATTCAAAAAAATAAATAACGGAAAAGTGGTGCGTGCATATGTATTCACCCCCTTTGCTATGAAGCCCCTAAATAAGATCTGGTGCAACCAATTACCTTCAGAAGTCACATAATTAACTAATTTTTTGAAACAAGTTCTTTTTTAAAATGTCACCCACCAGAGCACTGCACACTCAGCAGTGATTTCAGTTACAGTATACTGTAATGTAAACTACTGCTATAGAATAACTTATGTTGCCCTGTGGATTTACAATATATTTTAGAGTGTCATGGAGCTTGAAGCCAACAACCCACATGTTCGTCTTTGTGGATGAGGCTGGTTTTAACATGGCCAAAACACGACGACATGGAAGGAATGTGATTGGGAAAAGAGCAACAGTGAATGTCCCGGGCCAGAGGGGTGCCAACATCACAATGTGTGCTGCAATATCCTCTGAAGGATTGCTGTTACATAAACCACTAATTGGGCCATACAACACAGAGCACCTCATTTCATTCATGGATGACCTCTATGGAAGGCTTTTGCTAGGAGAAGAAAGAGGGCAAGTCAGAAGAAATATGGAAACCTGGGTGATTGTATGGGACAATGTGTCATTTCACCACTCCTGTGCAGTCACAGAGTGGTTTGCAGCCAATCCCGGGAATGTGTCACTTTTCCTCCCCCTTACTCTCCCATCCTCAACCATATAGAATTATTATTTTCCTCATGGAGGTGGAAAGTTTATGACCACCATCCACATTATCAAATGTCACTCTTGGATGCAATGAATGCAGGATGCCTGGATATCTCTGCAGAAGATTGCCAGGGATGGATCAGGCATGCAAAGAGATTCTTTCCCAGCTGTATTGCGCGAGAGGCCATACAGTGTGATGTGGATGAGAACTTGTGGCCCAATGCAGCAGACAGGGTTGACTAGCATTATTATATATCTGTTTCATTTGGACAATATGCTATGCATATTCATAGTGTGTATACACTTTTTGTTTATTTAACAGTACTGGAATTATTTATTGTTGTGTACTTTGGAATTACTCTGCAAAAAGCAAAATACAGTAATTTGCAAAAATACAGTACATTGTATTGAAGCATATTGCAGCCTTTTTGCTTTATTTCTTTACATATCTTGCACGACATTCTATACAGTACAGGTTTGCCACTCTTCTTTTGTAAAAATGACTGTTGGTTCATCTAAAAAAATATGATATTAAAGACAAATTGACCCATTTTCAAGTGGTAGCTGTTTTTAGAGTTTTGTAGGTCATGATACTATGAATGACAAAGTGTGCATGTCGTGAGAGACTGTTAGCTTTCATTTGGTAGAAATATATATGTAGGATGTGCATTGCCAAGTTGCATGTTGTTTTGATAACTGTATTTAATGTTTTGCACATGTATCTGCAGTATTGAACAATGCTTGTTAGCAATCGAAAAAAACTGTAAAACAGCCTATCACTCGAATATCGTTGCTTTAAATCAGTGAACGCGCGAGCACTCTCGCAGTCTTTCTCTCTCCCCATCAACTCCATTCAAATTGCATCCAAAATAGATAATCCTGTTCTAGATTGATATATAGCCCTATATATACAGTGCGGGAAAAAAGTATTTGATCCCGTGCTGATTTTGTACGTTTGCCCACTGACAAAGAAATTATCAGTCTATAATTTTAATGGTAGGTTTATTTGAACAGTGAGAGACAGAATAACAACAAAAAAATCCAGAAAAACGCATGTCAAAAATGTTATAAATTGATTTGCATTTTAATGAGGGAAATAAGTATTTGACTCCCTCTCAATCAGAAAGATTTCTGGCTCCCAGGTGTCCTTTATACAGGTAACAAAATGAGATTAGGAGCACACTCTTAAAGGGAGTGCTCCTAATCTCACCTCGTTACCTGTATAAAAGACACCTGTCCACAGAAGCAATCAATCAATCAGATTCCAAACTCTCCACCATGGCCAAGACCAAAGAGCTATCCAAGGATGTCAGGGACAAGATTTTAGACCTACACAAGGCTGGAATGGGCTACAAGACCATCGCCAAGCAGCTTGGTGAGAAGGTGACAACAGTTGGTGCGATTATTCGCAAATGGAAGAAACACAAAAGAACTGTCAATCTCCCTCGGCCTGGGGCTCCATGCAAGATCTCACCTCGTGGAGTTGCAATGATCATGAGAACGGTGAGGAATCAGCCCAGAACTACACGGGAGGATCTTGTCAATGATCTCAAGGCAGCTGGGACCATAGTCACCAAGAAAACAATTGGTAACACACTACGCCATGAAGGACTGAAATCCTGCAGCGCCCGCAAGGTCCCCCTGCTCAAGAAAGCACATATACAGGCCCGTCTGAAGTTTGCCAATGAACATCTGAATGATTCAGAGGAGAACTGGGTGAAAGTGTTGTGGTCAGATGAGACCAAAATGGAGCTCTTTGGCATCAACTCAACTCGCCATGTTTGGAGGAGGAGGAATGCTGCCTATGACCCCAAGAACACCATCCCCACCATCAAACATGGAGGTAGAAACATTATGCTTTAGGGGTGTTTTTCTGCTAAGGGGACAGGACAACTTCACCGCATCAACGGGACGATGGACGTAGCTATGTACCGTCTTATCTTGGGTGAGAACCTCCTTCCCTCAGCCAGGGCATTGAAAATGGGTCGTGGATGGGTATTCCAGCATGACAATGACCCAAAACACACGGCCAAGGCAACAAAGGAGTGGCTCAAGCAGAAGCACATTAAGGTCCTGGAGTGGCCTAGCCAGTCTCCAGACCTTAATCCCATAGAAAATCTGTGGAGGGAGCTGAAGGTTCGAGTTGCCAAACGTCAGCCTCGAAACCTTAATGACTTGGAGAAGATCTGCAAAGAGGAGTGGGACAAAATCCCTCCTGAGATGTGTGCAAACCTGGTGGCCAACTACAAGAAACGTCTGACCTCTGTGATTGCCAACAAGGGTTTTGCCACCAATTACTAAGTCATGTTTTGCAGAGGGGTCAAATACTTATTTCCCTCATTAAAATGCAAATCAATTTATAACATTTTTGACATACGTTTTTCTGGATTTTGTTGTTGTTATTCTGTCTCTCACTGTTCACATAAACCTACCATTAAAATTATAGACTGATCATGTCTTTGTCAGTGGGCAAACATACAAAATCAGCAGGGGATCATATACTTTTTTTCCCTCACTGTAGATGTCCTTGCCTACCTTGTTCAGGTAATAAATTAAATGTAGTACTAGCCTTATATTTAGCTAATTCATTATGTGTTATGCATAATTTGCTTATAATTTATAGCCTCTGTCTCTTGCGCAATACGCAAGCACCTGTGCTCCGCTGGCCTCATTAAAAAATGCTCCTTAGCTCTTGGAGTCCCATGCAGGAAAAGCTAGACTAGAATAGCTTGCTGGACAATAGACAATTATACCAATAGACAATTCGAAGAGGTACGCAAGGTCTTTTTTTGATGAATGTTAAATTCAGCAGCCAATAGAACTCAAGGGTAGTTTGAAAGTAGAGCGAACGTGCGATGGCGGTAGGCTATAGCAGTTATTTATTCAGACCCATAACCATTCAATCTTTGTGAAGAGAAGTGAAAGCCTTCTGCATCTAATTCTAGTCCTATATTATTCAAGGATGTCATTAGAATGATGAAGATAAGGACATCGAAACTTATTTCATTTAACTGTTGAAAGCAAGGAAGGAATGAAGCAACAATAGAGAGAAAGAGGAGGTAGGCTAATAACATCAGGGGAAATATTATGAAAGGTATATTATACAAATAGGCCCTTTTTTTCTAAATCTAATTCGCTAGCCTGTACTTGTAACTTTGTAGGCCGCATGTGCTGCACCAGAATCACATGTTCTATTCTGCTTTTTCATGGTTTGAACATGTGCGTAATTCCAGTCCATATAATACAGTATAATACAATACAGTAATACAGTTCACACTCAAAAAGATTAGCCTACTGGAGCTAGTTTCATTTATTTACCCAACAGACCATATAGCTAGCTACATCTATGGGCTTTTATGTTTTTCTGTCGTGCAGTAGCCTGTATTTACATTTACATTTTAGTCATTTAGCAGACGCTCTTATCCAGAGCCACTTACAATCATATTTGTATTAGATAACGGCACAATTATTTGGGATTTTTTGGGCTTAGGCTCATTAAATGTTGTTAATGTATTTAATATATGGCTCATCAGGCTCAGGTAGCATCAGGTTAGAATTTTCATGCTGATCAAAGCTCTAATCAAATCCAGACATATTTATATAATTTATAATGCTTTTGAATTACACTTCCGGTTATAGCGGGAAATACTGGGTTACCCGGGAGAAAAGTGCTTTATTCTCGGGATGGAACGTTTGTAAAATACAGGGAAAATATTCAACCGTGGTCCTCTGTAGCTCAGCTGGTAGAGCACGGCGCTTGTAACGCCAAGGTAGTGGGTTCGATCCCCGGGACCACCCATACACAAAAAAATATATGCACGCATGACTGTAAGTCGCTTTGGATAAAAGCGTCTGCTAAATGGCATATTATTTATATTATAGTATGTACAGTGGGGAAAGAAAGTATTTAGTCAGCCACCAATTGTGCAAGTTCTCCCACTTAAAAAGATGAGAGAGGCCTGTAATTTTCATCATAGGTACACGTCAACTATGACAGACAAAATGAGATTTTTTTTCTCCAGAAAATCACATTGTAGGATTTTTTATGAATTTATTTGCAAATTATGGTGGAAAATAAGTATTTGGTCAATAACAAAAGTTTCTCAATACTTTGTTATATACCCTTTGTTGGCAATGACACAGGTCAAACGACAGATTTTTCACCTAGTCGGCTCGGGGATTAGAACCAGCAACCTTTCGGTTACTGGCACAACGCTCTTACCCACTAAGCTACCTGCCGCCCCGGCATCCATTGACCTTTTATACTGATAACAAGTTCAAACAGGTGCCATTAATACAGGTAACGAATGGAGGACAGAGAAGCCTCTTAAAGAAGAAGTTACAGGTCTGTGAGAGCCAGAAATCTTGCTTGTTTGTAGGTGACCAAATACTTATTTTCCACCATAATTTGCTAATAAATTCATTAAAAATCCTACAATGTGATTTCCTGGAATTTTTTCTTCTCAATTTGTCTGTCATAGTTGACATGTACCTATGATGAAAATTACTGGCCTCTCTCATCTTTTTAAGTGGGAGAACTTGCACAATTGGTGGCTGACTAAATACTTTTTTTGCCCACTGTATGTAATGTATGTATGTAGGTATCTCAACGGTGGATGACACAACTCAGTCTCCCATACATACAGTACCTGCAAAGAACACAGTCTTCTCCTCCAGTGGGTTCTCATAGGCAGCGTCGATGGTGACGGGGAGCTCAGGCCAGTAGGTGGCTACCAGCATGGGACCTGAAGGCTTGCCCCGGAAGTTGGTTGACCTGAATATGAACCTGATAGAGAGAGCAGAGAGAGGAGTTACCTACTGGTTCAAATCATGTAAGAGAGGGCAGAGGGGAGAGGGGAGAAAAGAGGGGGTCAGGTGAAGGGAGAGTAGAGGGCAGTGGGGGAGAGAGGAGAGTGGGGTAGGAAAGAGGGAAAGAGAAGGGCAGTAAGAGACGGAAGAGGGGAATGTAAGGGGGAAAGAGAGAGAGGGGCAGTGAGTGAGAGGGAGAGTTTCAGCAGCCCAGGCAGCGAAGCCACAATAGCCTGATTCATTCAGCATCTGGTTCTCGTTAGGACCGGGGTTTATCGAAGCCAGGGGAACAAGACCCATCTTGCCCAGATTTCCAACAGGCAGCTGCATGAGCAACAACAGCAGCAGCAGCTCCCCAAGTCTTTTCCATTGACCTATTTTACAAAGAGCCAGATATTTCTCAGAGAGATAAAGCCTGTTATTGCTTATAAAATGCTATGCAGATATGGACAAAGTAGTCATATGATGATCTGCTATAGCAATCCATTCAAGGTTGAGGTATATTGAATTAGTCCCCCAAAACAGGCCCCCTGACCCTAAATGACACTACAGGAGGAGCATCCATGTCCACCTATATATATATATATATATATATCTGGGTCACAGAGATTTCATTATTTCACTCACTCTTGTCACATTCTGGATGCATATGAATTACACTTCCTGCATTAGATGCAGCCAGAGAGGTTAGAGAAACCTAGCTAGCAGGGTTGCCTGTGTTCAGTGTCTCGATCCCGTACAGGTCCACCTCATCACTAGGCCAATGAACAGTGGGTTCAGTTCAGTGGATTATTCTCCAGACTCCCCACCCAGCCCTGTGCTGAGCCAGTGACTGTAAATAAGGTGCTGAGCACACAGTGAAGTTAGACCACCAGGACATCTTACTCATCCCTTCATGTCCAGATCTGCTTTCCATCACCATGCTGAGTCAGGAGAGAGAGGAGAGAGGGGATTCTACCTACACCAGAAGGATTTGCTCTCAAAATAGTGTTAGCTGGGTGACAACACCTTTAAACTGATGCACACTGTGTCCGGTCTAGTAGCCCTCCCTCCAGTATTACTGTACTGTATTGAATGGTGACTGCCCTCCAGACTCCAGATATTACATTGGCCCACTAGACTGGTGACTGCCCTCCAGACTCCAGATATTACATTGGCCCACTAGACTGGTGACTGCCCTCCAGACTCCAGATATTACATTGGCCCACTAGACTGGTGACTGCCCTCCAGACTCCAGATATTACATTGGCCCACTAGACTGGTGACTGCCTACCATACTCCAGATAATTACATTGGCCCGGTGGCCCCAGACTCCAGATATTACATTGGCCCACTAGACTGGTGACTGCCCTCCAGACTCCAGATATTACATTGGCCCACTAGACTGGTGACTGCCCTCCAGACTCCAGATATTACATTGGCCCACTAGACTGGTGACTGCCCTCCAGACTCCAGATATTACATTGGCCCACTAGACTGGTGACTGCCCTCCAGACTCCAGATATTACATTGGCCCACTAGAATGGTGACTGCCCTCCAGACTCCAGATATTACATTGGCCCACTAGAATGGTGACTGCCCTCCAGACTCCAGATATTACATTGGCCCACTAGACTGTTGACTGCCCTCCAGACTCCAGACATTACATTGGCCCACTAGACTGGTGACTGCCCTCCAGACTCCAGATATTACATTGGCCCACTAGACTGGTGACTGCCCTCCAGTCTGTGACTTTCAACTACATTTCCCTATTCATCTGTCTCTGTATTTTCACTGCTGCCTAAAAATAGGGAGAAACAAAACAAAATGGATGCACACAGAAAGTCATATCCTAATGGGCCCCAGGCTATTGTTATTAACCTTGACATTGGTTGACAGCTCCATAACCTTAGTAGTCTCTATCCTAATCTTTGCTTATTGACTTGAGTCTCCATCTCTCCTCACTCTCTCTCTTCCACTTCTCCTCACTCTTCTTCTCTCTCCCCCATCTCTCCTCACTCTCGCTGTCTCTGTTCCATCTCTCCTCACTCCTCTACTCCATGGCTCTGATAGCTAAACCATCTGGTGACCTAGAGCCAACTGTGAATAACTAGGTACCAAAGTCATCCCACCACTGAAACCTGAGAAACAGCCTAACTGGCCCTCTGAGTCCAAATATCATGCAGCTATGGGTTTGGTATTGTAACTCCTCCATAGAGATGTAGGATCTTAATTTGATCACTCTTTTGTTTAAGATAATTTTCCTGCACAGCAGCGTATTCAAGTTTTAAAAATGCTTCTAAAAAGTGTGTAATTTCCACTTCAACATTTCAGACTTGATTTGCCCTAACTTAAAACGTATCAACCCCTACAAAAAATGTCCATTCATTATAATCCACATAATAATTCACATTTCCTTTTGCTGCAGGATTATTTCCCTGCTCTAGCAAACTGGCTCAAATTAAGATCCTACAGCCATAACTCCCTCCGTAATGGCATTTCACTCCATCTGAGAGATCGCTAACATTAAAAGATAGCTATAATTATGGGGTGTATCATTGAATATGCGTCATTGTTAATGATATCATGGTAAAACTCTAGAACTAGAACACTGCAAATCATTTTGAATGAGAAAAGGATCTTGCTGATGAGGAAATGGAGAATCTCTCCAGAAATCCTCAGGTCCAGTGTCTTGTCCACAACAAATCACTGTATAGGTATTCTGTGAGATTTTACCATTGTGGCTGGATATCTTGTGGATTTGGATTCTCTAGGATGTTTAAGCAGCAGACAACAGATGATATCCCTAAAAAATAACCAAACTAACCCAATCAAAGACATGACTTACAGGCATAGTCACAACATTTCTAAACTAACTATTGAGAGAAATTCTGCCGTTTAAACCAGACTCCGGTTTTAATTGGCAGGTCCTCCCTCCTTTACCAGTTAATGTTACGTTGACACATCAACCAAACACGACACAGTGTAGTTTATAGTCCACAGAACATCCTTCAGCATGATGTTTGCCCCTGCTCGCTGGCCAGGGCTGAACAGTGTTAAAGCATGGTGAACCACAGTGAGTGAAGACTTAACTCTTAACTAAAGCAGGATTCTATGAACTAAAGCAGGATTGGTAAGCAGGATTTGAGGGTGGTTTCCCCCCCAGTCCCAGATTCAGGGTGGGCAGTGGGGGGGGGGGCAGGCAGGCTGAATGACTGCAGTTATTCGAGTCAAAAAAGTATACTTGTTTGCTTTGGACACCGTTCCAACTCAGCCATGACAGATATATAGTAAAGCTCACCTTAAAACTGTGAAGGCAAAAAGATGTGGCGGCAAAGTCTGAGAAGGAACATATAAATGTCCAACGAAACCTAAACTTGCTATTCAGTCACAATTTTGTAATTTGGATTGCTTGCAATAGCTTATTGTTTGGGTTGAAACTGTTCCTGAAAGAATTTGTTCCAGACAAGATTAGGCTGTTGTGGTAAAGAGTTCATGTTTCAGAAGGAAAGTACACTGAGTCATGGAGAGTTGAAACTGAACCACACCACTCTCCCAACAGATAATGTAAGATGGAGAGATACAGAAAGTCTATTCCTCTTCTCCTTTTCTACACTACATAGGACAATCCCAGTTAAAGTCTGTATCCTGTACTGTACAGTAGGGTCTGGTTTACAATCCTAATAACAGGCAGCCATTTTGGCTTATCATAGTTGATCCAGGATTGTGAGGGTGTTTATTATTACCAGTTGTTTCATAACTTTATACTGATCACAGCATGGGATAAGCATTCAAGCTTAGACAAATTGAAATAACACCACCCCCTTCATTCAAACAAAGCAACTGATTGCCAAGAGAAAATAATGCATTCTGAGACCAAACAAAGCCCCCTATTAAACTACCCATTGTTTGTGGTGAAATGATTTAGTAGTGGATTGTGAGGTCTAACTTGTGGACTCTGGTCTGCTCCAATGACTCTAACCACAGAGTCTAAAATAGGAGTCTTGGGGTTATATGTTCATTCTGCCTGTTTTCAGATTGGCTACATGTTTTTTGAGAAGACCAAACAAAAGTGTATTAGCTATTATAAGAGAACAATACAATAAAAAACAGACACAGGCTTGTAAGACTTATGACTTCAACAAGTTAAATGTTGCATGTTCCAACCATTGCAGATCAGAAGTAATAGAATCCCCAGTAAATCATTTACCTGTCCTTGAAGAAGAAGGTCTCTCCTCTGATCTGGGCAATAGCATCAAACACCACAGGTTCATTACAGATGTCCATAGGAGTGACTGGGCCCTGGGTGGGAGAAAGGGGCTTGTCTGTACCAGGACCTGAGAGGAAAAGGAGAGGCAACATGGTGAGAGGAAAAGGAGAGGCAACATGGTGAGAGGAAAAGGAGAGGCAACATGGTGAGAGGAAAGGAGAGGCAACATGGTGAGGCAACATGGTGAGCATTGAGTAGATGATATCTCTGAAAATGAGATCTATATCCTTCAACAAGGAGAAATCCAGTTGTTATCTGCAGGACATTCACCAAAGTACTCTGGTTATGAACGGCGGGTGAAGTCATGGTTACACGTTATTTGAAAGGTACCTACATAAAGACTTCATAACACATTCATAACCCATACATGCTGCATTTATAAGCAGTACATAAGAATTTCAAACTGACCATACAGCTCCTGAATTCCCTTGATGTCGTCGTTGGACAGTCTGAAGTTCTTGGTGAAGGTATACATGGGGGCCATCAGAGCACCAGGGTCCTGGGAGTGCTCCAAGCCCAGGGCATGGCCAAACTCATGGGCCGCAACCAGGAACAGACTGTAGCCTGGACAACACCAATAGGAGTGAGAGATACAGCAACACATATTCAAAGCGTAACAAGTCAAGTTATATTCAGGTGAATGAGAATGTTTTCCATGTTGGGAAATTCCTGTTGACCATTTTCCCTCCATTCTGCATAGACAATGAATGATTAAATACATGAATTAATAAAACAGATTAAAAATACAAATGATTCAAATAAATAACCATGAATTGTCATTGTCCACTAAACTGCTAAAACCACCTACAAACAAACATAATGTCAAAGGTCATCGATTACACATTTACCTTGATCAGGACAGAAGCCCCACTTGCGGTCATCGTCGTAGCTCTTGGTGGAGGCGCACCACATTTTGCCGTCGCTACGTCCAGAAGCGGTGCAACTGTCATAAGTGTCTCCAAGGAATGTGAAGGGGAACACACAGGGGGAACCCTCAGAGTTTCCTCCCACAGTGGACATGGCTGCATGGGTGAACAAAAATACATATTTCAGGACCAAATTGACTTTTCTTTGTGTGCCGATGAGGTAGTGCTTAAAGTTATCAACTTGATTTCGGTTGAATTGCTAAATGGATTTGCTTGAGAAACTGCCATGACCTTAATGACATTGACATCGGATGTATTTTGTATCTACAGTATATCCAAATCAAAACCAAAAACCACTCTCTAAAAAGTGGCTTTTCTTTTCCTGCATGATAATATTATATCTGGGGTCTGGGTTGGTACAGCACAGCCATGGGCCTGTGTGGTTTTTGAAGCAGGCTGTTTCTTATTCAGTGCTTCTTACACACAAGACTACATAGCACGCCAGCATTCCCAACCAATTAGAACCAGATGAAAACCTCAGCCTTAACCCCCCCCCCCCCCCCCTCTCTTTCTCTCCCCAAATCCCTCTCTCTCACTCTCCTGACTCTACCCCCAACCCCTGAGCCACTGACACAATGGAAAATAACCCCCGCCAGCAGCCACTCAGTAAAATACTTTTACCGTCATTCAGTAGACTAGCTGCTGCAAGATTGGAAACCACAGGTCTGGAACATTCTAACATTCTCCTACACCAATACATGGAGGCATCAGCACAGTACAGCTTGACTGATAAATGCACGCACACACGCTAGTGATGGGCGGGTTGACTCATAACCCGCAGTCCCGGGAGGATGGGTTTAGGGTACATTCAATATTGTGTGGCTGAAGGGTGGGTGGGTGGCGGGCGGGTTGAATAAAGTGAAGAAATCCATAAATGTATCATTCTTGTGCAATTTATATAGGCTACATTGAGGTTTTTCTTTCATTATTTTAGGCTATCTGGTATGAGTGCATAAACCTAAGCTTTAGGGATTAACTGTATGTGTGCCAAATAGCCTACACAGCCAATCAACAAATAATGCTTTTGGGAACAGGCAGAATGCCAAATAATGCTTTTGGGAACGGGCAGAAAAAGTTAACGTTAATCCACGGAGGCAAAAAGGACATTGTCGAAGTTTAATTCAATAAGACAAAAGCTGCGAAAGGAGAGTTGAATATAAAGAGGAGGGAGGGTCAGAAAAGTAATGTTTGGACAAGATTTGGTGAAGTTGTAAAAGAGGATGATTGCAGTGCTGGCTATGTTATGTGTGATGATTGTGAGGCGCTATACAAATTCGGGACTTCAAATAGGCCTATGGCATGTCAAGGGAACTGTAGCCTACTGTTTAGATGGGTTAAATGGAAACTGAAATCTGGACACTGATTGTAAGTCTATAACCTCTCACATAGCCTCAATAATAACTCCTGCAGAATTAAGCATTTCTTGCAGTAACAAGCAAAATGTAGACTTAAATATGATTTTTCTTTCTGCATCTTGAGAGAATGTAATGCTAGATACAATCTGTAGAGGTGCTGTCTTCATCATAAAAGCTGATAGTATAGTACTGAAATCTTATCAGAAACACGTTGGGTCATTTTCACAGCTTTGCGGGTTAGGGTTGGATGCGGGCCTCAGATTTTCACTTTATCACATATAGTCGGGCGGTTGCAGATGGGTTATTAGCAATTGCGGGCGGGTGAAGAAACAGCTGACCCTTGCACCACTAACACATGCTAGCACGCACACGCACACACTAGCACATAACCTGGCTCAAGTATAATCCTCAGATTACGGTTTCCATGCAACAGTTAGATCTGTTGGATGGATCAGTGCCCTTAGCTGTTTGGGTTAACAAAGCTGATGAGGCTCACATGCTATAGGGAGGGAGAGACCCCTTCGGGCTTGGGCAGTATGAACTGGGAACCCACCTGTTTCAGGGCAGAACCCGTAGGACTTGTCATTGTCATAGTTCTCAGTCGTAGCACACCAGCGGTAGCCGTCGTCACGCCCCTGAGTGGTGCAACCATCATAGGTCTCCCCTTGGAACGTGAAGGGGAACTTACATGGAGCTCCGTCCGCGTTTCCACCCAGGGTGAACAGCACTGTAACACAGGAAGACAGAGTTGAAGGAATTATCTATACAGAGTTTACAGGTTTCCAGAATTTACTAAAATGCCATGGCAGTTATGCTGAGCCTGAGTTTGAGTGATTTCACAGATCCAATCTTACGCTAACTGAACCGCATTATCATTCTTTGTCAGGGTGTTACACATCCACTCTGTCCAGACTAAAATGTTTATCGCTACAGTATATCAACAGTCTATAAAACTATCAACAAGATAAATGTTTCACAAGACTTCACTGAGTACGCCATTTTCTCAAGATCAAGGGATAACCAGTTAGGACGTTTCATAAGACTGTTGGTCTCATATGAGTCTACTGTAGGCCTATATGTATCAGTATGTCTTTGCACTCCTTTATGGTGAGTCTATACCCTAATGGCAGTACCATGGACATCAACACAAACAGACAGACAAAAGGAATGATGAAAAGCTTCATGAATCTGGCCAAGCAACACAGAGAAGAGGGAGTACTTTATGACCCAGAAAACAACACTAGTTTCCCAGAATGGACTCCCACCTGGTCTCAGTCCAACAGCAACACAGCTTCTTCTAACTAATCACAAACCTCTCATCTGGAGTAACTCCTGGCCAACTCCTGGTCAGAAACTATCGCTAAAACACCACAATAGAAGTTCCATGAGGGACTGCTGAATGCAACACTCTTAACTTTTTACACTCCATGTAGATATAAAAATGTATACTGTAACTCTTTTGCACAATACATTCACAGGAACTCTTTAGAGGAAAAAGAAAAACAGCCATGTTGGCTCCTACTCACACTCATGGGGACAGAAACCGTATTTGCCGTCGTCGTCAAAGTTGTATGTGGTGGAGCACCAGAGGAATCCATCTTCACGGCCCTGATTGGTACAGCTGTTGTACTCCGTTCCCATAAACATGAAGGGGAACTTACAGAACTCCCCCTCTGCATTACCAAACTTCACCTTCACCACTGTGGAGGGGAGGGAGATGGGGTGGGGGGAGAGGTGATGATCAAAGGAGCTCAAACAGAGCTGTGTCAGATACTGTGTGGTTCAGCGATCTCGATATCATCGGTGAAATGTTAAACACAAACTGCTTTAAAAACTTGCCATGTATGACCATGAATACATAGGTGATAAGTAAAAACAAGTAGGTTAATAGATTAGATCAGGATGAACTCTTGACATTGTTTACAGACTTTATTTACAACTCAGACAGTACAGTCTCCAGTACCTTGTCCTTCTCCCAGGGTCCACTGCTCATCATCATCAAAGTGGGAGTCTCCCCCGGTGCCTGGTCCAGGAGCGAAAGCATGAGCCAGCAGACCATCTTTACCATCGAAGGGGTAGCCATCACCATGCTCTATGGATTCACATAACAAGGTTTAAAACAAAAGGACTCAAGGCACAGATCAGAATACAATTAGAGCATTACTGGATGGATTCATCTCAGAACAGAACTGTCTCCGAAGTAGCTAGTTAGACTTCAAATATGTCTCACAAGACTACAGAACTTGCTGTTTGTTGTCTGTGGTGTTGATAGGTCTTTTTTATTAATTACTGTTCTTGTCCCAGACAAGTAGGTCAGCTAGGGTCAGACAGGCCTGAGGCATGGTTATGTGAGTAACTGTCTAACGAGCGGTCCTGATAACCTCCCCAAAGACCAAAATCCTCATCAGTCCACCAAACCAAACCCTGTAAAATATACACTGAGTGTACAAAACATTTCTCTTTCCATGACATAGACTCCAGGTAAAAGCAATGATCCCTTATTGATGTCACTTGTTAAAGCCATTTCAATCAGTGTAGATGAAGGGGAGGAGACAAGTTAAATAAGGATTTTTAAGCCTTGAGACAATTGAGACATGGATTGTGTATGTGTGCGTTCAGAGGGTGAATGGGCAAGACAAAACATTTCAGTGCCTTGGAACAGGGTATGGAAGTAGGTGCCAGGTGCACCGGTTTGAGTGTGTCAAGAACTACAACGCTGCTGGGTTTTTCACACTCAACAGTTTCCCGTGTTTATCAAGAATGGTCCACCACCCAAAGGACATCCAGCCAACTTCACACAACTGTGGGAAGCACTGGAGTCAACGTGTGCCAGCATCCCTGTAGAATGCTTTTGACACCTTGTAGAATCCATTCCCAGACGAATTGAGTCTGTTCTAAGGGCAAAAGGGGGTTCAACGCAATATTAGGATGGTGTTCCTAATGTTTTGTACACTCAGTGTAGATAGCGTGTGGGATGGTGCCATGAAAACATGTCATTTTGGGCTTGTTTTGACCTCAAGTCGGTCAGACAGTGACCTCTATATGTTCTTACTTGAGGTCTGGCCTGCCACGAGAATATTGACTTTATGTGAGACACATGGAACCCAGAGAAAGAGCAATAAGTAACTCACACATAGGCAGGCCTACAGTACTATACGATTAGCAGCACTGAGCACACATCATCTAATCTCGTTTCCAGCCACTTCCGCCCTTTTGCGCAATAGCCGGATGATGAGTAGCCTGGTTAAACCAGACTGAACGAAGGTGAGAGCAGAATTAAGTCTGGTTTAACCAGGCTACTCATCATCCGGCATTGCTGAGGTTTCATACAGTACATTCAGCAGATGATAAAAGTACAAACTGTTATGTAATACCGTACCGTTGCGGCCAAAGTTAATCATGATGTCAGCCTCTCCATCCATGAGGCGGGTGAACTTGAGTGGGGTGACATCACTCCACACTTTGAAGGCCCTTAAGAAGGCGTCATCAATAGTCTCCTCGTCCAGGTCAGGAGAATGGCCTAGAATCCTGAGAGGTGAAACACAGAGAGGAGAGGAAACAGAGGAGAATACTCATTAAACAGCTGATCCCTGGCTGAAGGTGTGCTGCATGATAAATGTTACATAATGGAATATTACTGTGTGATTGAATAGTTATGCTTGAGGAAATGCACATAATGCAAGCAGAATCAAAGAGGGACCAGTGTGAGCATATAAAACCTTAAAAACGTGAGATTCACCTATGTCAAATAGCAAAAGACAAAAGCTTGTGCACCACACTCTCTTCTATTTAAAAGGACAAAAGCAATAGAGCAGAGGTATCCTAAACCCCCCATCTGGACAAAAAGTCCATCAGTCTTCAGGCCTTGCCTATGACTCATGTGGTTAGAATGCTTCATGAGAGAGTCCAGCCACTAACCCCTGCTATGTGAGTGTGTCTGAGCAGTATAACCCTCTGTATCTTGTTGTTTTGGTAAACTTCTCCCCATCTCTGTTTTTCCCATTGGTACATACAGTGAGTCTGAGTGGTCATGAGGACACAGAAAGGGCTGATGTAAACAACAGACCTTTACTCTCTTCTGAACCTCAAATAAAAAATATCCAACAAGCACTCAGTGTGCAGGAATCTTGGTGTTAGCAGATTGTGGTTGGGTTGGTGGGCAGTACATAGTTGAGGTTTTCATGGCCCAAAACAAACTACAGGGGCTGGAGGAGTCATTTCCTTAGTCATTTCCTTTGCTCAGCAGTCAGCACATTGCACAGCAACATAGGGAGTTATGTGGAGCGCAACCCTATTGCACATGGGGTTCAAAGCCTATTGCACAACTCCCTATACCAAAACACTATTTGGGCCAAACAAACATGTTTTGACCACTGACCTGTAGGTTATGGCGTTTTGCTGCCACTTGGGTTTCCTGTGGAAGAAGTTGTATTGTGCAACATCTGGAACGCCACAGCGGGGCTTCTTCATGATCTCCACCGTCTTGGGGTCGATCTCGCCCGTCTCTTGCAGCGAGAAGAACTTCTGCATCTTCTTCAGGGTGTCCTTCAGCACCATGAGGTTACATCTGTCTTGTGGGCAGCCATAGAACTTGTTCAGATAGTGCTGCAAAAGGGGATAAAAGACAAGCGTATGAGTGGATATAGGATATATTCTGATGCCTTCCTACTCTATACAGTGCCTTCATCCATTTAGACATACTGTATCAATGAATGCATGAACATTTGTGTGCATTACACATCAAAATGTCTCCACTGGGCACAGATGTCAATTCAATGTCTATTCCACGTTGGTTCAATGTAATTTCATTGAAATGACTGGAAACAATGTTGATTCAACCAGTGTGTGCCCAGTGGGTATCCAACTATCAGGTCTGAAGCCAATACATTATGAGTTTCATTAATTATTTGTCCTTTTAAAGTCATTCACAAATGGCAGAATGGAATATAAGTTCTCTATTCCTGAATTTATTGAAAATAACCTATAAAGTAGTTTGAAGCAAAAATCACATTACATTCCCACTTTGAAAAGTTGTTTAAAGAACACTTACCAGAGCCACTTCTTTGTCTGTTTTTGGACTATCGTCTCCTGGGAACTTGATAATGGGCGAGGGGGCTGCAGAGGTTTTCTGGAGAAAGGCGATTAACTGTACCAAAAACACTTTGAGGACAAGGTGTCGGGGGCTAAATGCCGTGTGGCACCCCATATTTCCCCGGTGGAGAATCGCTGGGTATGTAGTCGGGATGGAGGAAAAACAGTGCGCTTCTGGGCTGGATGTAGTCCTCTTGCCTCAGCCTCTTCTGTTCCTTTATCTTCTCCTCAACGGGAAATTCTGCACTGCAACCCAGGTCTGCTAACTCAGTTGTGCTTACACATGCACTTTTTTGACGCTGCTTTACACGGGACGTGTAGGCTATAGACTGCGCAGTCTCCCCAAATTGGGGAACGTCGGAGAAATGTAACCGGATACCTGTTCCAATTACGAGTTTACTGCGTAATTCCAAACCTCCCTTATTTGGCCTCTGTGTTCGGTTTTCTTTGCATTGTAGACTAGGCCTATACGTTGTATTTGCTCATACATTAAAGTGGGTACAATGATTGCACGAATCCCGCATAAATAGTAGATAGATTGACAATGAAACCAAACAGATAGGGATAAATCGCAATGAACACAGTTGTAGCCTAGGCCCTAGCATTAAAATAACTCACAAACGCGGAAAAAAGAGCGCGCCTTTGTAGGCTACCTGACCCCGCGAACAGAGGCCATCCGCCGCCGGACTGCAGGGAATGCCTTGTAATATAGCGATTCGTGAAAACAATTAACGTGTCACACGGTCTTGCGTTGCATGACATAGCAGGAGGCAAAGTTAAAGGTGCAAATATAGTGGTTTTATTAAAGGATTAGTTGGTAGACAAGTGAAGTCTTCAAAATGTTTAGGCCTACAAACATGCAGGTCAAAGGAAACTGAATTCCTACAAAATCTAAGAAAAGGCATATCTATGCAGGTTCTCCTGCCTCTATCACTTTGCTGACTGACCCCAGGTGGCGAGGTAGGTTGGAGCCTGGTATCGCATACTAGTTACCACAGCCACAAATCCATAAACCCCACCCTTTCCTTCAAATTCTCTTCTTAAAATTTGATTAAACCTAACTTTAAACTTAACCCTATCATTAACCACACTACTAACCGAATGCCTAACCCTAACCTTACATTTTGACTTTGTAACTGTGGTAACTAGTGGAAACCGCATCCCCATGACCTACAACATGAAAATGAAATTAAAGGAAATATAGCAAACCTCTACCTTGTAAGTGTTAGCAAATGAGCTCATATACACCGCATTCATCCACTCAGAGGACCAAACAGCAGATAATGACATGAAATAAGGAAAGAGACAAATGTTGCAGCAAGGAATCAAAACAACCACTTTAACAGTGACAACGAAATGGTTAAGTGTGTAGCCCAATATCGCTAGAAATAGTTAAGTTTAACAAAATGTTAAAACCACTGGAAAAGTTGGAACATGAGTTCAGCAAAGGTCCTCTCTCACCAGGCCCTGAAGTTGAGAGTTCACCTGTCCTATCCTGGCTACAAGGTGAGCACCGCCCCTCTTAAGACATTTCTGATTATGTTAGCAAAATGCCTACAAAGGCCTTAGCAAAAGTACTTACTTAACACCTGATGCTGCAAGGAACAGTACATTTAGGATCCTAGGTCTAGGTCAAATCAAATCCAATCAAATGTTATTTGCCACATGTGCCGAATACAACAGGTGTAGACATTACAGTGAAATGCTTACTTACAAGCCCATAACCAACAATGCAGTTTAAGGAAAAAACAAAAATAGCAAATAATTAAAGAGCAGCAGTAAAATAAAATAATAGTAGGGAGGTTATATACAGGGGGTACCGGTACAGAGTCAATGTGCGGGGGCACCGGTTAGTCGAGGTAATTGAGGTAATATGTACATGTGGCTAGAGTTAAAGTGACTATGCATAAATAATAAACAGAGTAGCAGCAGCGTAAAAGAGGGGTTGGGGTGAGGTGGGGGGGCAATGCAAATAGTCCGGGTAGCCATGATTAGCTGTTCAGGAGTCTTATGGCTGGGGGGTAGAAGCTGTTAAGAAGACTTTTGGACCTAGACTTGGCGCTCCGGTACCGCTTGCCGTGCGGTAGCAGAGAGAACAGTCTATGACTAGGGTGGCTGGAGTCTTTGATAATTTTTAGGGCCTTCCTCTGACACCACCTGGTATAGAGGTCCTGGATGGCAGGAAGCTTGGCCCCAGTGAGGTACTGGGCCGTACACACTACCCTCTGTAGTGCCTTGCGGTCGGAGGCAGAGCAGTTGCCATACCAGGCGGTAATGCAACCAGTCAGGATGCTCTCGATGGTGCAGCTGTAGAACTTTTTGAGGATCTGAGGACCCATGCCAAATCTTTTCAGTCTCCTGAGGGGGAATAGGCTTTGTCGTGCCCTCTTCACAACTGTCTTGGTGTGTTTGGACCATGATAGTTTGTTGGTGATGTGGACACCAAGGAACTTCAAGCTCTCAACCTGTTCCACTACAGCCCCGTCGATGAGAATGGCGGCGTGCTCAGTCCTCTTTTTTTCCCCTGTAGTCCACAATCATCTCCTTTGTCTTGAGCACGTTGAGGGAGAGGTTGTTATCCTGGCACCACATTTTACATTTTTACATTTTAGTCATTTAGCAGACGCTCTTATCCAGAGTGACTTACAGTTAGTGATAGCATACATTTTTATTTTTCATACTGGCCCCCCGAGGTCTCTGACCTCCTCCCTATAGGCTGTCTCATCATTGTCGGTGATCAGGCCTACCACTGTTGTGTCGTTGGCAAACTTAATGATGGTGTTGGAGTCGTGCCTGGCCATGCATTCATGGGTGAACAGGGAGGACAGGAGGGGACTGAGCACGCACCCCTGAGAGGCCCCCGTGTTGAGGATCAGCGTGGCAGATGTGTTTATCACCTACCCTTACCACCTCGGGGTGGCCCGGCAGGAAGTCCAGGATCCAGTTGCAGAGGGAGGTGTTTAGTCCCAGGGTCCTTAGCTTAGTGATGAGCTTTGAGGGCACTATGGTGTTGAGCTGTAGTCAATGAATAGCATTCTCACATAGGTGTTCCTCTTGTCCAGGTGGGAAAGGGCAGTGTGGAGTGCAATAGAGATTGCATCATCTGTGGATCTGTTGGGACGGTATGCAAATTGGAGTGTGTCTAGGGTTTCTGGGATAATGGTGTTGAAGTGAGCCATGACCAGCCTTTCAAAGCACTTCATGGCTACAGACGTGAGTGCTTTGGGTCGGTAGTCATTTAGGCAGGTTATCTTAGTGTTCTTGGGCACAGGGACTATGGTGGTCTGCTTGAAATATGTTGGTATTACAGACTCAGTCAGGGACATGTTGAAAATGTCAGTGAAGACACTTGCCAGTTGGTCAGCGCATGCTCGGAGTACACGTCCTGGTAATCCGTCTGGCCCTGCGGCCTTGTGAATGTTGACCTGATTAAATGTCTTACTCACATCGGCTACAGAGAGCTTGATCACATAGTCATCCGGAACAGCTGATGCTCTCATGCATGCTTCAGTGTTGCTTGCCTCGAAGCAAGCATAGAAGTGATTTAGCTCGTCTGGTAGGCTCGCGTCACTGGGCAGCTTGCGGCTGTGCTTCCCTTTGTAGTCTGTAATAGTTTTCAAGCCCTGCCACATCCGACGAGCGTCAGAGCCGGTGTAGTACGATTCAATCTTAGTCCTGTATTGACTCTTTGCCTGTTTCATGGCTCGTCGGAGGGCATAGCGGGATTTCTTATAAGCGTCCGGGTTAGAGTCCCACTCCTTGAAGGTGGCAGCTCTACCCTTTAGCTCAGTGCAGATGTTGCCTGTAATCCTAAGGTGTGGCTTACTACTACATTCATAGAAAAAAAAGGTGCTATCTAGATCCTAAAAGAGTTATTCGGCTGTCCCCATAGGAGTACCCTTTGAAGAACCCTTTTTGGTTCCAGGTGGAACCCTTTTATTTCTAGGTAGAACCCGTTCGAGTTCCATGTAGATCCCTTTCCAGAGAGGGTTCTACATGGAACCCTAACAAGTTCTACCTGGAACCAAAAAGGGTTCTCCTATAGGGGCAGCCGAAGAACACTTTTGGAACCCTTTTTTTTCTAAGCGTGTACCTTAGCAGACTTAGACCTACTAATACTGATTCTTACCATAACCAAAAATACTTAAAAAAAAAAATGTTTTGGTAAAAAATAAAATAAGTGTAGCTTCAAATCATGATTAGAAAAGTAATGTTGCCCTCATGGACTAGGCTGCTAAGCTATATCAAGCACTAATTGCATGTGGAAATGTAATGGAATGCACTTTATTCTGCTATTTTTCCCACACCTTCTGAGAGTTTGCTGTTGGACCATTTGTTGCTTGGACTCTGATGGTGAAGAGTGGTGCCAATGCCAACCAATGGATGCAAAGTAAGTCATCCTTTAGTCTCTTCACACAGCCGCTGTGCTGATCATGTGCGACTGTCTTTTTATTCCAAAATGTGCCTCTTGGAAAATATATTATGGAAAATAAATGATAATCTTGGAAAGTAAGCAGTCTATGGCAAAACTAAGACAATATCATAATTCAACTGAGGTGGAGACCACACAGCATCTCTTGTGTTGTCATGAAGATTGGAGCCCGACTGATATATTGTCACCGATATTATTGGCGTTGGCCTTTTACCGATATATCGATATCTGATAATCCCACCGATAACCGATATTCAAAAAAGTGAATCCCATGCTTATCTGAATACTTGTGGCCATTCTCATGATGTGTCATTATTGTCACAATGTAAGAAATCACCATTTGAAGCTAATGTCTTGGACAATTGCTCTTTTGGATGGCAATTTAAGAGAACTCAGTGTGGGACAATGTCACTTTTGAAATGTTGTGCTGTGAAACACTGTATTGGCAGATGTATCGGTAAGTTTTGTCCCCCCCCAAAATCAATATCTGACATTTTGTATTTATTTAAATTGAAATAGACTAATAAAATCACCAGAGAAAGTCATAAGATATAACCCATTACAACATTGCATACATGGAGGTCCTCTGGGTCTGGGCCAGATTATGCAGGGGTGTAGCTCAGTTGGTAGAGCATGGCGTTTGCAACGCCAGGGTTGTGGGTTTGATTCCCACGGGGGGCCAGTATAAAAAAATAATGTATGCACTCACTAACTGTAAGTCGCTCTGGATAAGAACGTCTGCTAAATGACTAAAATGTAAATGTAAAATGTAAATGTATGCTCTAGCTCTAAGCACTCAGTGTGCTGCAATATGAGGTGGAAGGTTGACATCTAGTGGCCACACTGTGTAAATACACTATGTACTGAAAGTAGTGCAGTCGGGACAATCATGGTCAATTATCATGGTGAAATATTTAATTGGGCACCACACAAGGCAACATAGACTTTGGCTAGCTGTCATTATCTCCCTTAGAAAATGTGATTTGTTCAAAGACATGGGTGTTTCTTGACTCATGTTTGCTTCAATACAGTATGCTACTGTACATTGAACCAATGGCAAGCTTACTTGGCCCATATTATCAAGCTGAATTAGTCCTTCTAACATCATATCCATGAGCTGTTGGTAAACTCTAGAATGGATATATAGTAAGTAAGTAGCCTTCCACGACGAGCCTTGGCTTGTCCGAGCCGGAGCAGCTCATAGGAGCAGGAGCCTGTCCTGTTGCTGTATCGTGAGGCAG